CATAATCTTGCATTCAGAAAACAAATCTGGACCCTTGTGAAACACAGTGCCATGGTTAATGGATGGGCACAGTGGGGACCCCAGTGGGGGCCGGCCAAGCCTTGGGGAGGCCCAAGGGTACATGAGCTGGTTGGTGGTCAGCCAGGTGCCCAGGACAGCCCTGCTGCTCTTATCTTCGGGGGTGAGGCCATGCGATGTTTTCTGGCTCCTTGTTAGAGCTCAATGCACTCTAACACTCTCTGAGGGCCCTGCTGTCTTCCCAGCAACCCCCAGACCCTTCCATGCCCACCCCAGTGCCCACCCACACCCACACTCACACCCACAGCTGCACCACTTCCTGGGTGGTGGCCCTTGAACAAGATGCGTAATATCTCTGTGCTTTAATTTCTCTATTAAACGGGATAATCACAGTGTCTCCCTGACAGGTTTGTTTAGAGAATGGAGTGAACTGATATCACATAACTTATTGTTTGTACAGAGTTTATGAGACTGTTGGTACACAGCAAACTGGATCCACATTTAACTGGGGGGGTCTGCTAGAAGATACGGGGGGTTGATCGTTGGGCATTAGAATCCTGAGGAGGGACAGAGACTTTTCGGGGGGCCGTGGAAAGTGGGTGGGGCCTCTGGGTCCCCCATGGAGTGGGGTTCCTGTCCTTCTCCTTTGCAAAATGAAGAACACGGAGAAGGTACCCGGTGAATGCCGAGGGCCTGACGGACTTCCTGGAGGGCAGCAAGAGGGTCACTTGCTCCTGGCAACTCTCGTTTGCCTGCCCACCTGCGGCCTGGAGATCTGAGCTGTGAAGCCAGCCCAGGTGCTGCATGAGATACATTCCCCGAGTTTCCTTGCCTGAACACACAGCCCTTCACCCCCCACCTTCCCAGGACACGGGAGGCGTTCCCCGGGTTCAGGCCTGAACACCTCATCCCCACAGCAGCTCACACAGATTTCACAGAGCTGAAGCCTCCTTCACGGCCAAGGTCCTGGCCTGGGAGGCAGGTGACCTCAGCCCTGCAGGAGGCTCTTTGCCTCAGGAGCCTGCTCACCTGGACCAGGCCAAGGGCTCAGGATGGTCCCGGGAGCTCTTATGGATCCATCTGAGTGCAAGTCTCCGCTCAATTAAAGATTCCTTGTAGGGGATTCAGGACGTGGTCAGGTCACGTGCATGTCCCGAGCCTCAACTCTCCTTCTCTGCGAAATGGGCATGAGCACTGCCAACAGTGATGAGGATTAAAGGAGGCAGCAGGAAGAGCCAGACTCCTCGGGCTCAGACTCTGGCTCTGCTATGGGACACTGGGGAAATGGCTTGACTTCTCTGTGCCTCGGTATACTCACCTGTAAAATACAGCTAACAAGAGTTCCTCCCTCACATGGTGGTTGTGGGGATTAAATGAGTTAATAACTGTAAAGCATTTGGCATATTACTTATCATACTATATAGTCTGTAATAATACTACATGATGTATTGATATTAGCTCAGAGGTTAGACGTTGGGCACCAAAGTGAGAAGGCTGGTGTTTGAGTCCCAGCAACATCACTCATCAGCTATGAAACCCTGTGTAAGTCCCATTGCCTCTCGGTGTGTTATTCATAAAATGAGATCAAGAATATTACCTACTTTGAGTTGTGAGGGTCAGAAGAGCAAATCAATGAAAGGTGCCAACTCTCAGGAAGCATTAAATATTATGCAATTGCCATTCAGACTATTACGATACTAAAGGAAGCGAACATTTATTGAGTACCTACTGCAGTGGTCGGCAAACTCATTAGTCCACAGAGTCAAGTAACAACAGTACAACGATTGAAATTTCTTTTAAGAGCCAAATTTTTTAAACTTAAACTTCTTCTAACGCCACTTCTTCAAAATAGACTCGCCCAGGCCGTGGTATTTTGTGGAAGAGCCACGCTCCAGGGACCAAAGAGCCTCATGTGGCTCGAGAGCCGCAGTTTGTCGACCAGGGACCTACTGTATATGGGCAGTTGACATGAATCATCAAGGATATCCTAGGACAAGCATTTGGTTGCTGCGTTCGGCAGAGGAGGGAGTGAGGTTGTGCTTGTCCAAGATCCCATGGCTGGGGAGGAGTAGCCGGACCCCAGGGTGCAGTTTTGGTGGGAGAAAAGGCCCAATGCTTCCTGCAGGACTGCATGTCCCACCCAAAGAGCTTGGCGCCCCAGGACCTTCTTCCGTCCCCAGAGTAGCCCTGGCTGGGGCATTATTGTCCCCACTGTGCTGAGGACTGACCTGAGTCTTAGAGGGGTGAGTGGCTTGAATTCCTGTAGCTACAAAGTGGCAGAGCCGGATTCAAACTCAGTTGTCTTATCAGAGTTCTGCTTAAACCCGTGACAACCTTATACCAAGCACAACCTTATCCCAATTCCCTCTGAGCCACCAACACAGTCTCTGCGTCTCTTCAAAACCCCAGAGAGAGGACCAAACGCCAGGATCACTGTCAAGCCCCAGGCCCACATGCAATCCCCTCAAGGCTTGGGGGGGGGGAGGGGGGAGGAGCGGGGCGGAGGGGGGCGAGGCGGGTGGGGGGGTGGCGGGCAGGGGGACACACTCAGAGACACAAAGACACTCAACATCCAGAGGGGTCGTTGTTACCCAGAAATCTTTATTACAAAAATATTTTGCAAGCCAAAAAGTTTAAGTTGCAACTATATACAAAATGGGGCCTGTTTCCTTCCCAAACAGTCTTAAAATAAACTCTCCAAACCACGCTCCTTCCGCACGGCTGTCTCAACCTCTTCCTTTTCCTGGGGCTCAATACACAAGGTAGGAGAACCGCCAGGCTGCCAGCCTGCAGCTAACGCGACACGGCTCCCTCGGCCTCCTTCCCTCACTCCCCTTCCAAAAATTCGAAATTAAATTAAATTAAAATGGCACCAAGAAAACATTCCCTCGCGATGCCGGGTGAGTGTGTGTCCGTGTGTCTGCGTCTTCTCTGGGCAGAAGACAGGGGGACGACGGTTCACGAGCCGGCCTTTGGGGATCTGGAAACAGTCCGAGGCAGGTGGCTGGGACACTGCGCTCCCAGATGCCACAGAGAAGCTCCAGCTCGTGGGCCAAAGCTGCCCACATGGCCTGTTGGCTCAGCGCATTCCTGAATGCCGTCATGTCAAACACCAACTCACAGTCCCCCCCCAGACGGCCCGGCCTGGGCGGAGCTCCCAGAGTCCCGGCTGCGGGCCACGCGGAGGGCAACCTGGGTCAGCTTCTCTCTTGCTCTGCTGACCTGAGCAGCAACCCCTTGGGCCCCACACCTCTGGAGGCGGAGGGGGGAGCAGCGAGGATTAGTGTCTCAGTTCTAAGAGCTGATCAGTTACACGCGGAGACCGAACACACAGCGTGCACCCTGTGCTTGCCCTGGGCCCAGCCAGGCTCCCTCGCTGAAGTGGAAGGGGGTAGGGAGTGGGGGGTGGGGTCAGAGGACAGTGGGTCACAGCTTCTGCCCACCCTCCCGGGATAAAGGGACAGCAAGGTGGGTCAGTCCTTGTCTTACAGCTGCCCAGGTTGATTCCAGTTTGATCCCAGTAGGGTTTGAGAGCAGCAATGGGAGATTTCCCTTGCAGAAATTAGCTCAGAGAGCTGGCATGGGGGAAGGTCACTAAGGGGGAAAGGGTGTGTGCGGGTTGGGGAGACAAGGGTGTGTGTGGGGGGGGGGGAAAGCCAGGCACAGCTTCCTACCCTGCATGGCCCTAAAGTGCTTATGAGGAATGGTGGGGAGGGAAGGCACCTTCCTCTCCCCTGTCCAGGTGAGCAGACTGAGGCATGAGGTGCGGACATGACCACAGGGCAGGGGACGCAGCCTGCAGAAGCATTGGCTGGTTCCGACTTACCGCGCGTGCCCAGGGCAGGAAGGCAGTAGGACCAGCCACATGGCTCAGCTGAGGACGTGGCCAGTTTAGTCCCGGAGAGAAGGAAGGCTGAGCATCTCCACGGAGCAGCCAGAACGGAGGAACCTTCTTCCCCATCCTCGGGGCTCCGGGACGTGGAGGAGCTCATGTTCTGCTGCAGGAGACTCCCTCCGGGAACCGACAGCTACAGCTTGGCCAGCACAAGACCCAACCAGGTACTTCAACACATGACAGAGAGCCAAGGTAATGCTGCCGTTGTTTCAAGAAAAAGAACAAAACAACAAAACAAAACACCACAGATCAAATTTTCTTACACCTCAGTTTCAAGATTGCACGTTTCACATTTATCAATAATTTACAGGCGTCCACAGCGAGCGGTTGCTGAGTTAGTGCGAGCTGGAGGAAGCAAGCTCAGGTCTAGAAGGCGAGGCGGGTCCAGGTGGAGTGTGGTGGTCAGGATGCTGGTCCTCACGGCGACTCGGAGGGCGGGAGGAGGAGGGTCTTGTTACTCAGTCCTGGTGGTGGTGGTGGTGGTGGAGGGTTTCCGGGCGGGTCCCCTGCTTCCCGGGGCTGGTGGCGTGTCAGTCCAGGGATATGGGAGGGCAGGACCGTTGGCAGCAACCTCACGGAGTCTTGGGACGTGGTCCCAACGTTTGTTTTCTAAATTCCCCATGGATGGGGCAGTTGAATCGAGACAGAACTTTTCCCAGAGCCCCAGCTGCATGGTGGTGGTGGTGAGAGGAGCAGGTGGGGTTTCTCTCCTCCTCACCTTGGAAGATCAGGCTGCAGAGCATCTAAGGAAGCTGTCAAGAGTCGCCAAGACCATGGCCAAGAAGACCCTTGGATGATGGAGAGAGGCATGAGAATTCCTGGACCCCTGGCAAGCTCCGGCCAGTTCCCACGTGGGCTCCCCGGCTGGTCTGGCAGCGTCGGCCTCCGTGTGTGGCAATGTGGGGTGGCGGGGGCTGTGGCCACCCTGGGAATGCTAGAGAGCCAAGCGGGTTGGGGAGACAAGATCCAGCCTCATCCTTGGGTCCCAAGACCTGCACCACCCAGGCCCTCCAGGACCCGGGGCGGCTGCCCCCCCGTGGGACAGGAAGGCTTGTGGGCACAGACCCAGAGACGCCCGAGGCCCCGATCACTTCCTGGGGACCTGGACGCTGGCGTACTCCGAGTGAGACGGCTCGGGCTTGGGGGCCGGCGGTTTGGGGGCCCGGTTGAGGTGGACCATGTCCAGGTCGGCGTAGGTGAGGTTGTCCTCAGGCGCGGCCGGCCGGACGGCCTGGATGCTGGCGTACTCCGTGTGGTTGTTGGACTCGGCGGCCCGGGGGGCCGACTTCTTCCGCTTGGGCAGGTTCAGGTCTGCGTACGTGATGTCATTGTTGTCCTGGGTCTGAAGGGGACGGAGAGAAGGTCACTCGGAGCCCCTCGCCTCCCGCCCACGCAGCAGCACCCGCAGGTCTGGATGCTTCCGTTTCCTCCACTGACTCAGCCGTAGCTCACGCCCAGCTCCTCTCGGGCCAAGGTTACCTGCCTGCAGCCTGACCCTTCCAGTCCACCTCCCTCCTCACACGGCCTGGGGACTTTCTACATGCCACTGTGGTCGCCTCCCTGGCTGACTCAGTGTTTCCTCCTCCCACAGTTCTGCCCTGCCTTGTCCTGCTCCTCCCTCTGCCTGGAGTCCTCCCCCTCCTTCTCCTGGGGATGACTCCAACCCACCTTGCCCTGTGCATTGAAAAACAAGCGCTGTTTCATCCTGAGACCTGCCCACTGGCTGGGTCCAGGGCTCCTTCTCTGTGCTTCCTCAGCCCGTGTTTCTCCTGACAGCACCCACCACCCAGGACTGTGTCTGTCCGGGGGTGTGAGAACATGCAGATCCCCCAGGTCTGAGCCATGCATCCATATACTCTTTTAGTTAACAAATATTCCCTAGGCATTTGTTCAGATGCAGAGACCGAGGCTGACACAGAGGAGACCTGATCGCTGTTGAATGAACGAACGAGTGAATGGCAACAATTTCAGCCTCACTCAGGGTGCCAGAAGCCTGGAGTTCAAATCCTGCTTCTGCTCTTTCTAGCTGAGAGGCTTTGGGCAATTCACGTCACCCTCCCGGGCCTCAGTTTCCCCATCTGTAAAGCGGGAGTAATAAACGTATCTATCACCAGGATCGCTGGGAGGACCGGGCGAGATCAACCAGGGGAAGCTCTTAGCGTGGAGCCTGGCACGCACTGAACAAGCACTTTGTGTTCAATAATGGCTACCATGACCAGCCACCCAGCAAACCTGAGCATCTGTCTCCCATGTGCTAATCTTATCACCGCAACTGTGCCTTAAAATGACCCGTCAGGGACGGTGAGCTTGGCTTCCTCTGGGCCTGGCACCCAGGCTGCAGAAGCGGAGAGGCGCTGCTGGCAAGGGTCACTCTGGTGAGTGCGTGATAACCACCACGGATCTCCACTCCCGATGGCTACCAGCACCATACCACCACCGGGGCCACCTCATGTAGGCAGGCCCTATCACAGCCCGGCTTGGTCGGATGCTGTACCTAGTTTACAGGTGAGCAAACTGAGACCTGGGGAGGTTACATAATTCGGTCAAAGCCACACAGCTGGAGAAGAGCCAGTCTGTTGGATTCTAATGCTGTGGTCTCACCACACACAGCTCCTCTGTTCCGACTTGCAGTTAACCCTTCTCTCTAGGAAACCCAACCCTCGAGAGGACTGGCACCAGGAATCCCAGGCGCCAGCCTGCGAACGCCACCAGTCCTGGGCTATGAGTGGCCTCCCTGCTCACTGCCCAGGGTCAGGCACCTAGAAGGTGCATAGCAAGTCTTTGCTGACTGAATTCTGCTCAAGGTTTTCCTTGATCAGTTCTTTTTACCATTATTCTTTTTTTGGAAGAAGTCGAGAGGTAAAATGATTGGGCATTGTCATGTGTTTCTAAGTATCACCTGAGCCCGTGCCCAGGGCACTGGGGGGCTGCACTGGGCCGGGGAGCAGGGCACAACATGTTGGCCTGCAAACATTATCATGTCTGTTAGCAGCCCCGGTTCCCTCCAACAGATTACATCGACGAGGATGACAGCAGCCAGGGAAATGTCAGGGACAGCTGGCGCGCGCGCGTTCCAGGTCCAGGGCAGGGCCTGTCTTGTTACAAGACACAGGGGAGCCCTTTGCCTCCACGGGCTGACAGCGTCAGCGGGGAAGGAGCGAGGCTGGGCTTCTCGGAAACGGGCCAACCGCGCGCTGCCCACGAAACCTCCTCAGCCACAATGAGGGGACGCTGCCAGCTGGAGGCATTCATGGCACAGGGTCTCTCCATCAGAGAGACAGGCTCTGGCAGCGCCCTGCTGCTGCTCGGTGTGAGAGGCAGCAGGAGGAGCCAGGAGGGAACCAGGCAGGGCGCTCCCGCTGGCAGGGTGGGGCTGGCCTGGGCAGAGGCCTGACTCCACTGACATAGAGCACACTGTGAAGGGTGCCCCCTGGAGGTGTGTAGTGGGGGCGCTGAGTCAAGGAGGTAGAGATAGCCTGGCTGGAGTGGAGGGTGAGACTGTGCAGAGAACCAGGAGAGGGGGAGGAAGGTAAAGACTCTCCTCACCCTCCCTCCCACCCTGGGAAAGGAATCTTAATTTAGAACCGAATCTGCCGCTCCGGCTGGTGCAAGAAAATCACACCATCGCGTTTCCCGGGAAGGGCACCTCACCAAGGACTGTACCTGGGTTACTTCTCTGGCGTTCTTCTCGGGCTCGTGCAGCCTAAAAAGGAAAGAGGCACACAGATAAAAATATCCTCCCTATCTCAAGTGCTCACGTAAATTGATAAGAATAACACTGAGGTTCACTTCCTATGGGGTGGAGGATGTGGATGGTTCACAACAGAAATACAGCTGCTTATCAAGTTTGGGCAGATGGTCCGTCTCACAAAAAAAAAAAAAAAAAAAAAAAAAAAGGAATTTGAAGAAATGTCTAAAGCTACTCTATCAGTAAGGATCTTTGAAAATAATAACACTTGGTGCTGGGGAAGATATGTTGAAACTGACATCTATATCTATATCTATATCTATATATCTATATCTATAGATATAGACATAGATATATAGATATAGATATAAAAGCCCGTGATTGGAACAGCGGAACGACCAGAATGACTGGTGGCTATGACGTGCACTGCAGCAGCCAACCAGCCTGATCCAGGCCCCCATCGGCCCTCAACACCCCGATCGAGGTGTTGCCCATGGCCCCTGTTCCCCGCTGGCCTAGCCCGCTGGGCCCCCATTGGGGTGGGTCGGCCAGACCCCACTAGTGTATGGATTTGTGCACCGAGCTTCTGGTTTTCATATATTATTGGTGGGAGGGGCAAGTTGAGGCAACCCTTTTGGGAAGCAGCTTAGTTAGGCAAACCAAGAGCTTCGAAGGTGTCATCACCTTTGGATTCATAATTGCATTGGGGGGAGGGGGGGTGGGGATTCAAAATATCCCAAAAACTGTCTGCACAGAGACACGGGTGCAAGGCAGGGTGGGGGAGGGAGTCACATCTAACAGCTCTGCCAGTGGGGACTGCCTCAGGAAATTAGGATAGACTCGCTGATAAAGATTTAAAAGGTTTATGAAGAAGTTTCTTTCTTTAAATTATGAATGATTACATTAAAAGATAAGTGCAAAAACAAAATTCTCAGTGGAATGATCTTAATTATGAAAAATATGTGGATAACACTGGAAGGAAACAGTAAAATGCCAGCAGCAGTGGTCTTTGGGTGGTATTTTTCCTTCTTTCTAGTTTCCCATAGTCTCCCTCCCTCACACACATCTGGGTTTTATCATTGGGAAAGAAGAGGGCCCAGGCTGGAGTTCTCAGTGGTCAGAGCGCCCGCAGGCTGGATTCTGGTCAAGGACATGCACCTTGGCTGCAGGTTCCCACCAGGGCTGGGACACGTGTGGGGGTGGGGGGTGGGGGGTGGGAGGAGGCTGGGTGTGGGACGGGGGCACGTGGGAGGCCTCAACCAATTAATGTGGGTCTCTCGCATCCATGTTTCTCTCTCCCTTTCCTCTTCTACCCTCCCCCTCCCTTCCACTCTCTAAAATCAATGGAAAAAATATCCTCCAGTGAGGATTTAAAAAAAAGAAAAAGACGAGGGAAGGATCAAGTGTCCTGGTTAATCAAAGAAGCCATTCATGCGCTTGATTCTGTAATTGGAGGCCATGGCCTGGCTCACTGCAGGGTCACGGTCAAGGTGGTGAGCAAGTCAGAGCCACTGGTTCCGCAGGAGCGGCATACAGTCTCAGGCCACACGCTGGGGATGTGAGCCTGGATAATGTCAGAAGCGGGCAATGGGGCTTGGCCGCGGGGTTAGCCATGGATTTAGCATGAGTGCTTGGCTCAGAAAGCGTCCTGGGCATGATGGGCCTCACCTGCCCACAGAAACGACCCTCCAGGAGCAGGGAAGGTCATGCAGCTCTTTCCACGTCCCATCTGCTTCCAACCCTCTGGGGCTCCCAATGTCTCTGGTCCAAGTCCAACTCCTCACCCTGCTCATAAGCCACATGTGGTCTGGCCCCTACTGACCCCTCACCCCAGGACTCATTCATTCCCCTGTCCTCACTTCCCCACTACCCACCCTCCAAATATTTCGAGAGGGCTACTTGATAAGACACTCTAGGGGTCAACAGCAACATCCCTGGATGACCTTCTTAGCCACTTTTTGTTTTTGTTTTTGTTTTGTTTTTTGTTAACTCATGTATCTTTAAGACTCCACTGTGGAGTCAAGTCCTCAGGCTGGCTGGGTTGAGCCTGATGACAATTTCAAACCTCCTTATGTAGGTTCCTGTGCGGTGTCTGTGCCTGCCTGCCTGCCTGCCGTGCTTCCTTCCCTGATGGATGCTCAAAAAGTGCTCCAAAGTGACTGGGAATGAATGCCAGTCAGACTGCCCCAGGGCCTTTGCACAGTCTTCCCTACCTCCTCACCTAGTTCACTCCTTCTCTTCCCTCAATGGAAATAATCCTTTCAATCCTGCTTGAAATAGTCCTTTCCCTGGGAGACTTCCACCGAGTCCCCCGACTCCTCTCGGAACACGGGGCTCCTTTCTTCCCGAGCAGCACTTCAGATCAGAGGACGTTTTCCTTGGTGTGTGTGAGCGTCTGCCTCTTCTCCGGCCTCTCCTGCCTCCTGAGCCGTGCTGCTCTCCCTCACCCCTGTGCTCGGGCTAAAGAGGTGGGAGCCCCTCCGAGCCTCCTCTCTCCTTCTTTCAACCCACGTCTACGCCATATAAGGCTTGTTCACTCAGCCCCCACAATACATATCAGACCCTGTGCTCCATCACCTCCACCCCCCCCCCCCAGCTCCCCAGATTCCCGAGGTGCCTCATCCCTGTGTTCCTGCTTCCATTCCCGACTCTGCATAACACTTGGTGCTGGGGGAGATATGGTGAAACTGGCATATATATATATATAAGCCCAGCGATCATCCACATGTAAAAATGCATGGAGGACGTCGTGTCATGTTTCTGCTCAAAACCCTCAACCCTGTGGTGAGTATCCTCTCTGGGGAGGCCCGCATGGCCTGCCCCCCACCGCCCATCTCTCTCCCCTGGCTCACTCCACTCCAGCTGCCCTGGCCCGCTCCATGGTCATGAACGTCTCCAACTGCTCCCGCCTCCGGCTGTGGGCACTGGCGGTTCCTTCTGCCTGGCCCACTATTGTCCCAGATAACCCCATGGCTGGTGACTTCCCATCCTCCAGTCACCTCCTCAGAGAAGCCTTCCCTGATCACCCACCACACCACCCCCTGCTCTGCTCTGAGCCCAGCTTTATTTTATTTAATCAGCACCTGCATCACGCTGTGTAGTAACCTCCCGGCTTATTTGATCACCTGCCTCCCAATGTACAGTGGTCTCCAGGCAAGCAGGGACTAGGCCCATCTGATTCCCCACTGGAGCCCTGGCTCCCAGTAATGGGCTGGTGAGTCATTAGCGTGCAGTAAATGTTTGAGGAATGAATGAATGAATGAATCCATCCATCCATCAATCAACATCTGTTCCACTGGATCAAAAGTGCCATGAAACTGGGCCTTCGTGTCATTTTTGCTCCCCTTTGCAGTCTCCCAGCTTAAGGCCTGGCACTGAGCTGGGCTCGGTAAGAGGAATAAATGAAAGAATCAGGGAAGCCCTGTGTATTCCAAGAATAAACGTGGTGAATGTCTGACAAGTGAACAAATGGCCAACTGCACGAACCCCGGTGCCCAATTAAGGGAGCAGCCACATTGTGTCATCAGATCTGGGGAAGATTACAGACAGCGCTCCTAACCCAGGAAGGTGGGCATCGCCAGTCCCTCCACCGGCGGCTCTGCAGCCCGAGGGGCACTTTGAGCTCAAAGCGGCGGCATCCCCCGTGGCACCTCCCTGTGGCGCACAGCGCTACCCACGCCACCGTGCTCTGGAAAGCCTCTGATGCCAGCCAGCCCAGCGGAAGCGGCCGCTACACGGGAAACCACCATTACGGCTCGCTAGCGATTGCTTTGGTTTAGAGGGATGAAAGGGAGCAAGCGATGTCCTGGCTCCCTGGGCATCCCGGCTCCTGATGGAAAAATAAAAAACAGGCAGGAACGGCTGGCTTCTCTGGGGAAGGAGAAACTGGCAGCCAGAGCACTGGCGCAGACAAAGCATCAGCTCTGGCGTGGGGACGGGGGCGGGAGCTGAGGCGCCGGCCCTCCCGAGCTGTGGGGCCCAACCTCTCTGAGCCTCAGCTTCCTCACCCACACACGGGGACAATAACAGCCTTCTGAACGGGGGTTCTCAGTGTCTGGCTCGGGAGCCGCAGCAAGAGCACCACCTCAGAACTTGTCAGAAACACGCGTTCTGCAGTAGACGCTCTGGGGGCGGGGCCGGGAGTGTGTGTTAGTTAACAAGCCCTCCCGAGGACCCGCTGCACACCCGAGCCTGAGAACCACGGCTCAATTACATGGGATAACAGTAAATCACAGGGCTTTTTGCGATCATTAAAATCACCTTTGGGCTAAGACCGGCAAAGGCATAGATCGGTTCCTGGGTCCCAGGGAGGCTCAAAATACATTAGCTGCTGATGCTGTTGTAATTATTATTATTATCATTATTGGCATTGCCTTTTTCTCCCAGAACTTACTGTCTAATTGGGGAGTCAAGACAAATCAAAAATAATGACAACAATGAAAACAAAAACAACAAAAAAGAGAGATACTGTCATATTTTGGGTCGTGAGGCCACGGAGGGGAGAGTTTTAGGGATTCAGAGGAGGAGAAGGAGACTGTTGCAGTGGGTGAGGGTGGGACTCATTCATTCATTCATTCACTCGTTCATCTGACAAACCTTTGCCGGGCACCTATTCCATTCTGGGCCCGGTGCCATGGCCGGCACCGAACATGAGGGAAGTGAGCCTGCTGCCCTCAGGAGGGATGGGTTACAATCTGGGGCCATGTGCAGGGTTGGCTTGAGCTCATCAGGATGTCAATGCAGGGGCACCAGGAGAGTTCCCAGGAGGGGCTCCCGATCCTGGAGGAGATCATGCCCTCCCTGAGCCCAGAGGAAGAGCAGGCGGTAACCAGGTGGAAGGAGGGTGACACTCTAGCTTCCATGTCACACAACTCCAAGGAGTGCCATTCACAGAGCTCTCTCTGATGCCCCCTGGGATTGTGGAGACCCTGGGTGGTGAGTGAGCAGGGATGGGGGAGCACAACCTGGAGAGAGGGAGGCCTGAGGGAAGAGAGAAGGCTGAGCCACAGAATGAAACACTGGGGCGTGGCCAGAGGTGAAACTGTCCATATCAGCACAGGCCAGACCATGAGGGATTTGAGGGCCTCAATTAGGCACCTGGACTATCTTGATGATCACAAGAGCCGCTACAGGTTTTTAGGCAAAGGACGGAAGCCGAGTCTTGGCCTTGCAAAAGAGTATACTTGCACACATACACACACATACACACACACACACACACACACCCACACACACACACACTCACAGCACCCCCATTGCCCCCAACCTTGGATCTCATCATCCTTGACTCTACATTCAATCCATCAGCAAGTCCTCTGAGCTGTACCTCCAAAAAGTATCCAGCATCTACCATTTCCCAGCCCATCCATCCACCTCGGTCAAGGTCATCTGCTTGGGAGTCGCCTCTCTGCTTCCAGATTGATCCCCTGTGGCCAGGTGCCCACATGACACTCAAGGTGATCTTTTTTAAACAAGTCAGATCATCTCCCTCCTATGGCTCCTCATTCCACTGGCAGTAAAACCCCGGGTCCTACCGGCCACAGCCCTAGACCACTGGCCTCCCCTTCAGACCCTCAGGTCCTGCTCTTTAATTCTGAAATCCACAATGCTCTACAAAAGCAAAATACTTGCAAAACCCATTTGGTGGCAAAACCTGACCTAAACGTGAAGCTATTTATAGTTTTTATTTGTTGCTCTTAGTGCAGATTATATTCCCAAGCCGGTACATTCACGTAGTAGATTGTGGCGTGCTGCTTCTATTCTGCTGGGGTGAACGTGGGGGGCCTCCCTAGAGCTGGAAAGCCTGGGTGAGTAGCACATGTGGCTGCATGGGCCTCTGCTAAGAGCCTGTGGGCCGGCACCTCCCTGAGCTCATCTCCCGCCTTCCTCTGCCCCCGCGCACAGGCCTGCTCTGGGCCGCCCGTCACCTCCCACCTCGGGCCTTGGCCACACCTGCTGTCTCCCTTGCCACCTCTGCTTCACGGCTCCCCGGCTCAGAACCTGCTCACATCTTCCGAGGAGGCCCCTCCTCCTGCCTAAGATGGACTGCCATAAATCTCCGTCCCTCTGCTCTGTCTGATTTGTCACATGGCATTACATATCATTTACCTCTATGCTCACTGCGGCTGCTCTCACTGGTGTGCGAACCCCATTTGGGTCTGGACTGATTATTTTTTTGTTAAATATTCACCCAAGGATGGGTACACACAAACACACACACACACACACACACACACACACACTTTTCCCCCTTTGATTTTTAGAGAGTGGAAGGGAGAGAAGGAGGGAGGGAATGAGAGAGGAAGAGGGAGAGAGAAAGGGAGAGAGAGAGAGAGAGAGAGAGAGAGAGGCTCCGATGTGAGAGAGACACATTGATTGGTTGCCTCCCACGCACAGGGATCGAACCTGCAACCTAAGTCCATGCCCTTGAATAGAAATTGAACCTGTGACCCTTCAGAGGTTAGAGCTTGGGCTCTAACTATTGAACAACACCGGCCATGGCAAGTCTGGACTGATGTTTGTTCACTGCTATATCTCCAGCACCCAAACCTGAGCCGGCACATAGTAGGGACTCAGGAAGAATCATTGAAAACATGAATCAACAAACTAAGACACCATTTGTGACACAATGCCATCACCTTAGCCTCTGACCAGGGGTAGGCTTCAGGATGGGCAGATGCTTTCTGTCCTGCTCACCCCGTGTCCCCAGGGCCACCCGTGCAGAGCACTTAATAAATATTTAATGAGCGAAGGAAAGAGCAAAGTATACAACGCGGGTCTGGGTGATGTGTTTGCACTGTGCTCCTGCCACCGTCCAAACAGGATTTCATCGGAGTCTGCTTGTCTGTGGAAGTCCCCGCCAGTCCCCTGAGATCGGTAATTAAGATGGGCCTGGCGTGAGGCACTTCCAGAGCAAGGACAGAAAGGCTGGCTGGCAGAGCTGGGGGTTCAGCGGGTGTGGACTCTGCTTTTCGGTTTGGGGCTGTCAAACAACAGAAGCCTCCCAGCCCAGGGATGCGCTTACCTTGTGGAAGAAGTGGAGCCCTTAGCTGCAAGAGAAAAATAAAAGCCAGTTATTTAATCTAGAAACATACTTTGTTGTTTTGTTGTTGTTGTTGTTTTTGGGGAAGGGAAGGGCAAACATTTGCCTCCAGGGCCCCTGGGAGAAACTGTTGAAATCATATCCTCCCAACCATAGGAAACCCCGCGCTCACCCCAGTGGGTGGCCCAGTATCATCCATTGGGGAAACCAGGAGCTGGGCTTTCCTGCTTTCTCACCTCTGGGAATTGCCAAAGGTCAGAACCCAAAGCAGCCTTCAGCCTGGAGGGGCCACCTGCCCTAGCCCCTGGTCTGCACTTCGCCACACTCCTCACCCGAGACCCTGCATCAAGCCTGGGTCCCAGCCGTGGCCGCTCCCTGCTGGAGAACAGATCCCAGCAGGCCTGTGAGCCGGGGCACAGGTGCGAATCCCTCTGCTGCCACCAGCTCGCTCGCTGTGTGGGCCTGGATGGGCCCTTTCTCCCTGAGCTTGGATTTCAGCTCTGACTCACAGGACTGGGCTGGGCGTTCACGTATTTCTATGTCGCCTTTCCCCGAAAAAGGATCTTGGGAGGACAGAAAGAGTCCATCTGGTTCAGAGGTTTTTAAACCTGTGCTATGGGGCATCCCACCGAGAAGCCGCTGGGGTTCAGCCACCATTGGACTCGAATTTCACTGCAAAATTGTAATTAAAAAGCAACTTGCACACGCAAATGTGCTCTGCCCCTCGTGTCGCAGGCTGGAGGCTGCCACAATGCAGCCGCCCTCACTGCTGGGTTAATGCTCGGGGCCTGGGCAGGCAGTGGGTTTTAGGTGAGCGGGTAGCAGTGGGAAGGCTGCAGCTCAGCATCTGACACCTGAATGGAGGCTGATGGGCTGCAGAGCACTAGGACATAAGGCGTCTCGGGGAGTCCAATGACCGATCACCCCCATTTTACACCGAGGAGGTTGGGTGACACACGGATGAATGGTGACTGATAGAATAGAAAGGAAGACACCTCGTTGTATTGAGATAGAGGATGGGTGGATCTTTCCAGGGACCAATGAGGGGGAAGGGGCATCTCATTAGGGCGAAAGTGATGTGCAGCGTGGTCCCTAGAGTTCCACGGCCAAGGCTTGAATCCTGGCCCCACCGCTTGCCAGTTGGGAGGCCCCGAGCAAGTCTTACAACTTACCCGTGCCTCAGTTTCCTCACCTGTAAAATGGGTTTAATATCACCACTGCAGAAGACTGTGGCAAGAACAGTGCCTGACACATGAGATGGGCTGTGCGAGTGCTACTTGTCACTGTCACTGGAGCGTATGTTTGAGAGCTGGGCTCTGCAATACGGACCCACCACCCAGGTCTGGGTGGCCCGCACCCATGTCTACAGCTCTCCAAACTGTCGCTCCTCCTCCGGAGCACCCGGTCGCTGATGCCTAAGCCCCGTAATGAGCTCGGGTGTGTGGGGAGTGACACGGTGCCCAGGGAGAAGGCTCTAGAGTCTAGCCCAGTGGTCAGCAAACTCATTAGTCCATAGCGCCAGATATCAACAGCACAACAATTGAAATTTCTTTGGAGAGCCACTTTTTTAAAACTTAAACTTCTTCTAACGCCACTTCTTCAACATAGACTCGCCCAGCCTGTGGTATGTGGTGGAAGAGTCACACTCCAGCAGCCAAAGAGCTGCAAGTGGCTCGCGAGCCGCGGTTTGCCGACCACGGTCTAGGCGAAGGGCTGGGATGTCCCTACCAGCCACTGTGAGCTCTCCCCTCCATGGCTTGGCTTGTCCCTGCGGTGGGCAGGGAGTTCCTTCCTGTGAGGGCTTCCCAGGAACTCTAGGGAAACCCCTGGGCAGATCACTGGCAGAAGCTCCTCCAGATCCCAGAGACATGGGCCTGACTCTAGCCTCCTGGACCGGGAGCTTAAGGCTCGGGCGGTACTCCTCGCTAAGTCTTCCAGCCAGCCCAGGAGGGAGGGGCAGCGGGGAGGCTGCGGAAGAGGCGTGTGGCTGACACCTCCAGCTGAGCCCGCACGCGGCACGTGGTAGATAGCCACCAGTACGCTGCAGAGAACTTAGGATAGACGCTGACAAAAACGAAAATATCACAGTTCTAATTTCATCTGTGGGGCGCGCATGTGTCAGGCTGACATATAAAACGCAGTTCTATCACTTGTAGTCAAATAAGTTTCAGAAACACTGGCTTAAACCTGTCTCCTTCGAGAGCAGAAAAGAGAACTTGCGTTTTTTGAGGCCTGAGAATGTGCCGGAGCTGTTATTTCACAGGAGCCTCTTTGGTTGCATAACTATCCTTCAACATAGGCATTGCTACACCCATTTTGCAGGTGAGCAAGCAGAGGCTCGTGGAGGCCAAACTGATTGCTTGGAACCTATAACGGCCCTGGTTTGTCTTAACTCCAAAGACAGAGGCCTTACCATGACAGGAGCGACACAACCACACACACACACACACACACACACACACACACGACACAATGTCCCCTTCTGCCCCCAGGAGGGCGGTTTAATGCTGATGACAGGAGGTAACATGTATTGAGCACTTGCTGTGTGCCAGGTACGCCCCCAACTTTTATATATATCACCCACTTCATCCTCCCAACGGCCTTGGAAGTGGGTGCTGCTGTGATCCCTACCCTCTTCCAGCCTCCTGCCTGGGGGATGGGCGTGTAACTGGACAGGTAAGAGGAAAGCAAACGTTGGCCGGGGGTTCCTGGGAATATTACTTGCTCTCTGAGACCCTCTCCCCACCCTGCAGCTCCGTTTCCCACCTCGCAGAGGGGCCATGAGGAGGCATGGACTGGAGCAGAGATGCCGTCTTGCAGCCACGAAGGGAAGGCCCCGGGAGGGATCCACCCAGGCTCACCCAGGCCCACAGGGTGAGGGTGTCACCCCAGCTGGCACTGCTCCCCCTGGCCTCCTATCTCATTCCAGGAAGGAACTGCCCATAGGCGGTGCCCAAGGCCCTCCTGCGGCCTCCCCCGTTGGAAAGGACAGCCCGGGGCAGACTCCCGGGGAAGCGGCAGGGAAGGCACCCACCTTTTTTCTGTCGGACTCGCAGGAGATAGAGGGCGGCCATCAGCAGGGCCACCAGCAGGGCACACACCACGCCCACCGCAATGAAGATGGCCTTCGAGTTCTTGCCCTCACCTGGAGAAAGGCAGGAGAGAGGCTTCAGGCGCGCCAGTGAGAACCAGAGAAGCGCCCCCCACCGCCTCTGCACCCCTGCTCGGCCCCGTTCACGGAGAGCATCAGGCGGGTCTTCTCGGACGTTTCGAGCCTCCCGGGCACGTTCATGGCTCCGCACACACGTCCCCACACGGTCAACCATGGGAACTCGCAGACCATGCGGGGTGCCGGGGGAGACTGCGTGGTGCCGCAGCCGCGGCGGAACCCGGGCTGCCGGGCGGGGGCAGACACCTCCCTCCCGAGGAGCACAGCCCGTTCTCTGCATCGGCCCGAACCAGTGGCCACCGAGGCCACGGGAGCTACCCAGCCCCGTTCAACCTCCAAACCACAATGGGGACAGAGGAACGGCCGCTTGCAGGTGAAGGCCTCTCAGGGGCTGCCCCCTGATGGGTGCCCGGGGCCCAGGCAGAGGGGCTCTGGACCCAGACACTGAACAAAACTAGGATCTGGCGGGCCCCGGGGCACAGGGAGGGAACCCGCACTGGAGCACTGTGGGTACTCGGGAGCAGGGCTGAGTTGCAGTAACGTGGGTTCAAATCCGTGCCCCTAGTGTGTGACCTTGAGCCGGTCACCTAAACCTCCACATACCGGCTTCCTCTTGTGTTACTGAGGCCAAGAATAATCTCTACCACGTTGGATGGCCCCGAGGATTAATCAGCAACTAGCCAACCAAACAACCAACCAACTCACTCTTTCCTCCTTTCTAAAACCTACTATGTGCTGGGCTGTGGGCCAGGCCCTGAAGCTGCGGTGCCCGGGGTTCCTAGCAGCTGGGACTCTGAGCCAGGGTCACAGCTCCTCTCCTTGGGCACTGCCCGGAGCAGCCAGAGGCCCGGAGAGAGAGAGGCACTGACTCATCCGAGGTCACCCAGCAGGTCTGGGACAGGTGCTGCTCCGAGCACAGGCCTCACCCTCTGAGAAGCAGGCATCGGTGACACCTAAGGACACCCTGACAGGGCCCCGGCCTTCCCTGGAGCTCTCTGGCCCCTTGAAGGACGCACAAACGAAAGCAATGGCCTTTATTCTAACCCACTCAAAGGGTCTGCTGTGTCCGGGCACAGCCATGCTAACGAGGGAACAATCCACACTGGCACTGAAGCGCCACCTGGGTGCTGCCGTTGTGAAGGAGGGAGACGCTCGCCAACACACAGGAGGGGTGCTGAGACCTTTGACTCTCCCAGGAGGCGGCAGCATTCCCAGCCTCTTCGGTGCGCACGCGCTCGGGCCCGGAGATGCCCTTTGGGAAATGGCCCCATAGAGAGAGCTGCACATGTAACACAGCATGCACAGGACATGGACTGCAGCAGCTGAGACACTGGACAGAACCCACACCCCTCTGGAAGCCCCGCCCCGCCCCCTCGGGGGCAATGGCAGCCAGAGGACCAGGCAGAGGTTAGACAGAGCCAGGAGCAGGCAGGGGCCCACATGGCTGTGAGAAGAAAGCAAGAGGCAGGCTCTGTGGTGGCCTCCCGCCCTCCCTCGCTCTTCCCTTTCTCAATGTACACCGATGTGAAAAGACCCATGAAGGCGGGTGCCAAACTCTTACCAGTGGTGACGACAGAGTGTGGGGTGTGGGGAAGGGAGCTCACTTCAAAAGGCCCCTTCCTACCTATAGACTTCTAGGTTATTCTGTAATAAGCATGCATTACTACTTGTAACAGTAAAAGTAAAGGTGAACTTTAGTCAGAGCCGGGTCAGTTAAAGTGGGGCCTCACCAGCGGGTACATCTGGGTCCTTCTGGGGAGCCAGGGCCTCCACGGTGACGATTTTGGTGACCGCCGGCTGCCCGTCGTGCTCCACCTGGCAGGTGAGCATTGCATCCTCCCTGTGGGCAGACAGGTTCACCAGGAGCCAGCTCCTCCCGGTGAAGGTCCCGTCCTGGTTCTCTGTGAGGGTCGAGGCCGTTTCTGTTCGGGACACGTTTCCGTTCTCCAGCCAGGTCAGCTGCAGGCGCTGGGGGTAGAAGTTCCTCACCAGGCAGGTGACGTTCTTCTGCTTCTCTGACACCGTGCGCTGGGTGACCTCCACGGTGGGCGGCACTGAAACAGCACAGGGCACAGCTCTGACCTCGTGGGACACAGACCTCGGAGGAGGCTCCGCCCTCGGCTCCCCCACCACAGGACGGTGTCTCACAGGACAGGTGCTCATTCATAGGAATGAAGTCACTAAGCACAGGAGCCTGCACACAGTAGGGGCTCAGGGCCTCGCAGCTCCGGTGAGAGTAAAAGGATTGAAGTGAAAAGGCACAGCCCGCATGCAGTGGGACTTTGTAATTGTAGGAAAATAAATGAAATCGCCAAGCACATGGGAGCGTGGCTTATAGCAGGTGCACAGTTACTGGAGCTGCTATTGGTAAAGTAGATGCAACTACCAAGAACAGTGGTGGGTGGGCACCGGGCAGCTGCCATTAGACGGGGTGAGTGATGGGCACATCCAGGTGCCTGGTGAAGGGAAGGTCTTGAGGAGTTAGATTCCAGGAAAATCAAACTCTGGAGCAAAAGGCAGGGGGAGGAGCTGGCATAGAGGCCAGGGGCCAGGTGTGGGCTTGGGCTGGGTGTGAGGGCATCTACCTCGGAGGGCCTCAGAGAGGTTGGCAGTCCCACGAAGAGGCGGGTCCCCCTGTAGAGTGTCATGGGTCACCTGACAGATGACCTGGGAACGAACATCCCTCGGGGCCAGCAGCACCCTGGCTGTGCTGGAGATGCTGTAGGAAGGGCTGTCTCCCTCTGGGTCCACGGTGGTCTGGGAGGCTGGCAGCTCGTTCCCATCCTTGAACCACTTCAGGAGGATGCTTTTCGGGGAGAAGCCGTGGGACTTGCAGGTGTAGCTCACTGTCTGCCCAGGTGGCGACCTGCCCGTGGGGCCCGATACCACAGGGGGAGAGGGTTTGGCTTTAAAAGGAACATAATAAACAACGAATATGACTGTGAATATCACCACTAACAATAAGGATTCGACACTGTCAAAACCTTCTTCTCATATACTGTCTGTTTTTTAATCCTTCTATTAATTCCGGGGTGTCATCATCCCCATCTCACTTGGGGGGATGACACTCAGGTCCCCTGAGTGAGGGAGGGGCAGGGCCAACAAGCAAACCCAGGCCTGCGTTCAAAGTCACCCAGATGACGTCCCGCCTACTGGCCCAGGGACACAATTACTGAGCCGTCTCTCTTCACAGTGACCCTCCTAGCCAGCCTCCCCTGGACCATCCTAGATGGAAACGCAGAGGAAGCAGTGGGGTAGCAGGACTCCATGACAGCTGGACCCCGGCTGGCCAGGGAGCGTCCCAGCTCCCAGCCGTGAAATGGGGCAGCAGGCATTTCTCCTTCCTGGACTGCCGGGAGGGTTACCTCAGGCAGTGGAAGCATTTTTGCTCTGAGCAAAACAGAAGATGCTTCACAAAAATAAAGAAACACAGGTCCGTTTTGAACTTGATATTTATCCAGAGCTTGCCCTTTGGGTGTTTACGAGTCACTCCATACTTCTCCTTCGTTCCACCAGTATTCCAGCGGGGTCTGTCTCATCTGGGCCAATCCCCGAGTTTGACAGGGAGAAGACAACGAGATGTTTTTTGTTTTTTTTTTGAACTTGGGTTCTTCTCTTGGGTTTGAACACACAGATCACCGAGTGCTGAGAACTCCGAAGGGGGTTCATGTCTTAATCGGTATTACATTAGATGAGGCACAGACACGGGCCTCGGAGTGGGCGGGACTCCTGAGTCCTGAAAGCATCCACACCAGGGATCAAAAGCGAGAGCGGTTTCTCCCTATGGGAAGGGCCAGCAGGGTGGGTGTCTCCCCATTGGGAGTTATTACCCAGCCCCTTCGCTCACCATGGGCAAACAGCACATATTAACAAGTACTTGCACCTGTAAATATCTAACTTGCTTCCTGAAACTCATCCAACGTTTGAGGACATAGATAAGGGAGTGTCACTTGAATCAAGAGGTAAAAGCACCAGCGGCCTGGACGCCCCTAGAGATGCTGGGATCGGTGACCGTTTATTGAGAAAAGCTGGCATCCTGATGCCGGGCGGGTCCCTCTGTGCCCTCAGCCCCTCCTTTTCCCGCCGCCCTGAAGGCAGGCCCTGCGTGGTCTCACTTAGGGGATGAGGCTGAGCGAGGACCCGGCTGGTCAAGGGCACAGGGAGGAAAGCCAGGATCATCTCACTGCTCACAGGACCGTTTAGTTTTAGCATCTCGGTTCTTCATCCTTGAGCCTCGGGGTCTGGCTCTGTACTGAGTGGCCGAGAACACCACCCTGGTAAGGGGGGTGAGGATGTCTGTCACACAGCCTGGCATACGGGGGCGGGCAAAACACAGAGCTTATTCTTATATTCTTGTTAATTACTGTATTATTTTCCTTATAAACAACAGCAAACCTACTTTTGCCCACCCCTATACAATAGGTGCTTAATAAATAACACCTACCATTGTTATCATAAGACCTGGCCTTACTAGTTCTGAAACTACCTATTTGTGTGTTTTTTTTAAACATATATATTTTTATTGATTTCAGAGAGGAATGAAGAGAAAAAGGAGAAAGAGAGAGGGTGGGGGGAGGGGAGAGAGAGAGAGAGAGAGAGAGAGAGAGAGAGAGGGGGAGAGAGAGAGAGAGAGAAACATCAATGATGAGAGAATCATTGATTAGCTGCCTCCTGCACACCCCACACTGGGGATGGAGCAGATCAAACCATGACTTCCTGGTTCAGAGGTCGAAGCTGAACCACTGGCTGAGCCACCCTGGCTGGGCCCTATTTGTTCTTCAGGCAGTAAGACTGCAAGACAAAAGCATAGCAGAAACACCAAGAAAAGTCTCAAATCCTGCTCCCCGCAGCTGCCGTGCAAAACTCCGCTGAAAAAAGCAGAGAAACCCCCAAATTATGGTTCTCTCCCTCTTTTTGTAATGATCCCCTCAGGAAACAAGTTCGGCAAAATGACTTTCAACACACACACGAGATCACAGGCGTTTCCCTACAGGTTAGCTCTTTACAGAAGCAGGAAGCGTTTTTTGCGAAAAGGGAGGACGGGTTTTGTCAGAGGCGTTTGGGTGTGCTGGGCCAGGCAGGGCTTGGGCTGAGCAGAGGTAACTGAGGGGATTCCAACTCTGTTTAGACACTCAGGTGTCCCCAGCAATGGAGCTTGAATCTGAACAGGGTGCGGGGCGGCCCCTCCCGGGGTGGAGAGAGCAGGGTGCCACTCCTAGCCCAGGCTTGAGCCGTAAGAGGTGTCCCTGCCACTCCAGTCGGGCTCATTTTCTTGGGCCTCCGAGGAGCTGTCACAGGCACATGCTACCCTGAGGCACCTGCAACCCCAAAGCTGCTGTTCTCTCAGCCCCAGCAGCAGGGAGGGGGCACCTTTGTCTGGGGTTAGGAGGGGGGTAATGCAAGGTTTCCTGAGGCCTCAGAGAGCACTTAGCTCAGGCTCTCTGCCTGGCTCTGCATTAGCATCCTCTGGGAGTTATCAGTTCAGCGGCCAGGCCCGCGTCTGAGCAATTAAGTCAAACTTGTAGGATGGAGCCAGGGAAGAGGGACCAGGTTCCCAGGTGGTTCTCAGGAGCAGCCAGAGCGAAAGGCGCTGAATCCCACCTTGAAGCCCATTTATACTGAGGCCAGAGGAGGAAAGTGACCTGTCCCAGGGCCCGTGGCTTTGGCGTATCACAGCTCACATCAGACGTGTGCATCTCAGGATGGGCTGACATGTGCACAGCTGTCACAGGATGTTCACTGAACATTTACTACGTGCCGGGCCCTGCTCTAAGCACCTCACGTGAATTCTCTCAGGCCTTGTAGCTGCTCTGTGAGGTCAGTGCTGTCACTGAGGGATGAGGACACTAAGGCAGTGTGGGGAGTGACGGGTCAGAGGTCACAGAGCCGGGAAGTGGCAGAGCTGGGATGTGAGCTCATGCAGGGGGCTGGCCCATGCTCTCACCCACTGGGCACTGACCCTCAGTAATACTGCCCAAGAGCGCCCAGCAGGAGAGTGACACCACTGCCCACTGGGGGTCTGTGCTCTCAGCAGCTCATTGTATCCTCACACCTTCCTGCAAAGGGTGGTGAGACCATCACTGTCTGCAGGTGGGGAAACTGAGGCCCAGCAAAAGAAACTAGGCCACACCATGAAATAGCACCTGATTTTTGGGGTGCTACTCTGTGCCGGGGTGATTCAGACAGAGCACCTCAAATCCTCCACCTCTCCTAGAAGGACTCCATGGTTATTATCGTCTTACAGGTGGGAAAACGGCCGAGACAAGAGAAGGGGCTGTCTCCTCCACCAGCAATCTGTCCCAGGGGCATTTCCTGTGGCTCCAGGCTTCATGCCCACCAACAGAGTAACTGCACCACCTCACCACCCTCCCCACCCCCCCCAACACTGACTGCCAGCCTCCTCTCCCCCTCCACTGAGGTTTCTGACTTCAAGGGGTGCTCTCCAGTGCCCAGGCCGGGGGCCCTGTGGCAATAAATGGGAGAAGGGGCTCCTAGCTGTGAGTCTAGGACAGTAGTCGGGAAACTCTTTAGTCAACAGAGCCAAATATCAACAGTACGACGATTGAAATTTCTTTTGAGAGCCAAATTTTTTAAACTTAAACTATATAGGTAGGTACATTATTAACTTAATTAGGGTGCTCCTAAGCTGGCCTTTGCTAAACACTCAAGGGGCCAAAGAGCCGCATGTGGCTCTTGAGCCGCAGTTTGCCGACCACTGCTCTAGAATATGAACTCCTGCTCACTGGGTGCAGGGCCCTCTAGGAAATGCCCCCTCCTCTCCCTCAGTCTGCGGAGCCAGGGATGCTGCCCACGATGGCACTGGGGCTCAGCGACCCGTCTCTGCTCCATCCAGGCCACTGTGCCGGGCAGCTCCTGCGGCTGCCCAGTGAGGAAGACACCACACAGAAGGGAAGGCCTCCTGGATGTTGCTCTGTGCCGAGCCGTGTCGCTGGAACAGGGTCAGCGCATCAGGAGGCAGCTGTGTACACGTCTGTGGGCTGTGACGCTGGCCTGCCCCGTTCACAGGACCTGTTTGTAAAGCGCTTCCTGAGGAAGAGCAGAACGATTCAAGATTTTACCAAGAGAGGTGTGGAGCGCCTCCACCTGGACAGCACAGGGGGTGCGGCAGAAAGCAGGGCTGTGAGGCTGCCTGGGGTCCAATCTCGGCCTCTGTACCTGCTCCTCGGTTAGGTCTTCCCTCTGCGCCTCAGTGTCCTCCTCCCTCAAAGGGCCCCCGCGCTGGCTGCAGAGTAAATGCCAAAAGGAACACGAGGCTCCCGACCGCTCCCAGTGCCCGCTCTCTCAGCCAGGGCACCGCTGAGCAGGCAGATGGGGAAGGGGCAGAGCTTTCACCCAGGAGGCAGCAGATCTGAGTGGCGATGGAGCCACTGACACCTGCGATGCCTAGGCAACTGACACACCATTGGGAAGGTGGTAATACCTGAAAATTCTGGATAAAGCCACCTTCCCTGCCTGTGTCCAGGAGTTGTGGGGAGACCCTGTTGCCACCATGTCTAGGAGGGAAACTTGGTGATACCCCCCAAATTAAAAGGCACGCACCTTGTGACCTAACAATGCCACTTCCTGTGGGCACCTCTCTCTTGAATAGGGTGACACATAGACAAGGGTATCCCCATGAATAGCCCAAGGCTGGGAACAGCTCACACCCATCAACAGGAGACAGTGAGGGAACGGTGCTGTCTCCGCAGGCTGGAGAAGAGGCAGCTGGTAGAGGAGGGGCAGCTCTCGGTGCTGATGTGAATGCTCGATTTGGGGCGACGTGGCTGGAGGTACAGGGAGGTTCCCAAACACCTGGGGGATCAGTGTCTGAACGTGAGGGGCATGTGAACCTTAGAGAAAACAATGGAAGGAGGATTCTGGCTCACTGCTCAATGGTTTGGTATAATTAGCTCTTATTCAGCACCTACTATGCGTCAGGTCTTCCACAGGGAGAGGGTCCTACAACCGGCAGGAAGGAACCTGCCTGGAATCAGACTGGGTCTGGGAATGGCCGCCTCACTAACTGGCCGTGTGACTGAGGGCCGGTCACCTCGTGGCCTCAGGAGCCTTCTGTGCCTGGGAGGGTTGGGAGGAGGGCCTAAAGGTGCTGACATCCAGGATTCGGGATGCTGGGCCTCTGGCAGAAGACCCAAAGTGAGCACGTTTGCTGCCTTACAGGATGACTCCCAAGTCTCCACACGGGGAGCCTGCTCCCTGTGAGGGTCAGTCTGCCATCACTCAGCTCGGAGCCTCAGTGGCAGTGTGACCGGGTTCCTGAGTAGAGAGGTTTGTCGGACTGACCCACAGTGAAGGCCCAGCCTCTGGGCATCCCCTCCCCCAGGGCTGCAGCGTCCACAGCGCGTCGGTGCCTCAGGAATTCTCACAGGGTGCTTCTGAGGGTGAAATGAAGGGAACATTCTCCCTCTCTCTGCCCTGGCAGGTTCCTCCCACTGCAGGGAGAGAATGGAGCTTCCTGGGAGAAGAGCTGTTGCCTGCTTTGTTCTGCAGCTGCCTCAGCACCCAGCGCAGAGCCTGGCTCACAGCAGGTGGCCGGTGGGTGTCACTAAGGTGGAGCCTCGGACACATGAAGGGGAGCACTCCCTGGAGGTGGGTGAGATCTGGCCTTGTGATGGGCAAGTCACTCAGACCTTCAGTTCCCTCATCTCTACAACCAAGGGGCTGACAGGATTGAAAGGCCAGGGCTGGGGAGCCAGATCAGCGGGGACTCCAGACTTTCCCCACCACTGACCAGCCGTGATGGCTGAGCAAATAGCATGACATATCCAGGCCTCAGCTTCCCTGGTCTGCAGATGGTTAAATCAGACCAGGAATCAGATCCTGACTATAAGCACCCACCTCCGCACCCGACTCTTAGTTGTTTCTCAAAGATGGAAGTCGTTCTTACTGACTTGTTGTCACACACGAGGGACAAAGGATCCCCCTGAACTCACCACTCACGCTGAGCTGAGTGCCTGCCCCAGACTTGAACTCCTTGTCATCACCGGTTCCTCTCCGGAACTTCACACAGTAGTAGGTCCCTGTGTCTGCTGGGGTGATGTTACTGATGCGGATGGAAAAGTCCGTGTTGTTTCTCCTCGTGGTGTCTGCAGCACTTGTTACTCGGGGGAAGAGGCGTCCTCTGAAATCATAGATTAACTCCCGGCCTGGTCCCATCCCTCTGAACCACATCATGGGCCCCACGGGGGTCAGGGATGTCACAGTGCAGCTCAGAGTGGCCGTCTCTCCTGCTGCGACGGACACTGACTTCTGAGGCTGAATCACCTGCAGCTCCTCCTCACCTGCCCCTCCTGGAGGGAAGCACAGAGCAGTTATTTACTCAGCATATAGGAGCCTGTAGGCTCGGTCAGTATTTACCATCAACAGCCTTCATCGACCCAGTGCACACCCTGAGCAGGCCTTCAGCCCAGCACATGCATGTGTCATACATGTAACCCTCACCACCACCCTATAATAAGAGAGCTTATAACACGAGAGGAAACTGAGGCACAGAGGGGAAGTTAAGTGATGTGGCAGAGAGTGGGTTTGAGACCTGAGCCCTCCCTGGAAGTGTCATGTCTGAGCTGGGCTCTGAATCCAAATCTGAACTCACCAGGAAGAAAGGGGCACAGCGTTCCTATCAGAGGGGACAGCATGGGCCAATCTCAGAGGCGGTGGCACATGGTGTGTGTGTGGGGGAGGGTGGGTGGGGAGGAGTCTCTGGGAGTTGAGGCTCTGTCTGGGGCCTGGCCCAGGAAGCAAGCCACCAGCGGGAAGCCAGACTCAGCAGCTGGGGCTGCAGCAGGCTGTGAAGCAGTGACGTAGGAGGTCGCGGGTTTGGCTCAGGTCTTACGACTGAGTGACCCTGGCCATCACTTGGGCCACCGAGAAGTCCCAACAGGGACTCGTGTGAGTGGACTTGACACTGTGAATGTGAGCACTGCCCCTGTTTTATCAGGTCTCTGTATTATCCTCTGAGCCTCAGTGTCCCCATCTGTCAGTTATATGGCCCCGTTTCCACAGACCAACCAGCAGGCCTGGGCAAGGACAGGGTCAAAAGGAACATCTGGCCCCAGGCTCGATCCCCAGTGGAGGGTGTGCAGAAAGCAGCCGATCAATGATTCTCTCTCATCATTGATGTTTCTAACTCTCTCTCCTTTTCCCTTAAAAAATAAAAAATAAAAATAAAAAAGGAAGCGTCTGACCTGGTCTGAAACCTGGCTCACCATTTACTTACATGTAACCTAGCTTATCCATTAGTTTTGAGCCTCGGTTTCCATCTATAAGATGTGAAGACACCCCTAGGCCCCTCTTTAAGTCACTTAGCACTGAGCTGGGCACAGGGGCAGCTACTGTCATTGCACAAGGAACACGCCAGGCAGGTATGCTGCTGGCGCTGATGGTCCTGCAGACCAGGGTGCTGGGGGCCCCACGGGAGGGGGCATGGTCAGGCTGCAAGGGCTCTAGGCTTGGCAGCTGGAAGGAGTCCTAGAGGCCGGGGGTGGAGGGGCCTGAGCCCCACATGGGAGAGAACTGGGGCACAGGGGACAGATGTGGGTGGAGGAGTTGGGGGAGGGGAGGCCACGGCCAGGAGGATGAACAGGCAGGTGAAGATGCTGTGAGAAGGGCCAGGCCACAGGTGCTCAGAGCAAGTCGCAGCCAGGGCCCCGATCCGGAAGAAGGTGGGGGTGGGGAGAAAGGACAGATCTTAAAGACCTTGGACACACACACACACACACACACAGATTAGCTTGACACTGCAGAGACACAGAGATAGGCAGAGAGAGACAGAGTGAGAGAGTGAGAGACAGAATAGGGGGTGGGGGAGGGTGGCAGCCTTTCTGGCTGCAGACCATCTGGTCTCTGCCCCATGCTCCCCTCACCCACAATGCGACCCTGTCCTGCCCCGACCTAGGCCACCATGGCCTTGGGCATCAGACAGGGTGTCGGCTGATGCCCCGAGCAGCCCTCTCTGCCTCTGGCCGGGCAGGAGGGAGCCCTTGTGCATCTGCCCACTAGCCAGTGACCCGGCACCACCCCACAGGCAGGAGCAGGGAGTCAAGGGAAGGGAGGCCAGGGACTCCATCCGCCCTCACTGCAGGCAGCCAGGGCCTCAGGACAGGCCCCTCGTCCCTCCCTGCCTGCTGTCCCAGCCCTCATTCCCATGGTCCCAGACCTGAGCCATGACTCACATCGGCAGCCTGAGGGCAGCCAGACCCTCACGGGTACAGGGAAGAACCCTGAGTCCACAGAGCACAGGGGCTGGGGTGTAGCTGGGGCCAGTTGTGAGAGGCACACAGAGGAGGCAGCACCAGCAGCTGCCAACAGCATCCAGCCACGTACATGCCAGTGGGCCTGCCTTCCAGCACGGAGACTGGGGGAACTGGAAATGCCACCAGTGGGGGTGGGGGGGGGCAGCACAGGCTGGGACCAGCAAGCCTGGGGAGCTGGACCCCCCTAGCCAGCTGGGACCCCTCCCTGGGCCTCCACTCCACCCGCCCCACCATAACGAGGAGGACCGGACACCGCTGGATGCCGGGGCTTGCTGCACAGATGCTGCTTACATCTGAGTTTGCGTCCCTTTTGTGATCAGATGTATTATTTTTATTCCTGATTTTCTCTGGCTTCTCATGGCCCCCCCAGCAAGACATGGGATCCACAAGGCTCTCTTTCCCACCCGTGTCTGAGGCCCTCACACACCAGGCCCTCATACACACATGTTGAGGGCACGCGTGAACGAAGGAAGGAGGGGTTTACTTGCTCCCAGGAAAAACCCCTTCCAGCCTCTTTCCTTATCTGTTCATGGAGCTGCGACAGGCATATCCCGGCGACAGGCAAGCCTGGAGCCTGGGACCGCGCCTGGCCCACAGAAGGTGCCCGTGGCTCATGGCAGTTATTATTATCTTCATCCACAACCCCACGCGGACTGTGAGTCAGCGGTTGTGAGGGGAGCGGGGGGAGCGGGAGAGGCTGCAGAGCAGGCGTGCGCGTGTCGGAGCAGGTCTATTCCTGTGTTGCCGTCGGAGGCGCGCAATCACACCCGGGCAGGCGGCAATGAAATCTGGAGCCGTGTGAGGGCCACCCTCCCCGCCCCCTTTTAAGTCCTCTCTACCAACGGCAGCCAGATTTCAGCGGCTTAATTAATTAGCCGGTGTTTATAAAGCGTTTGAAGAATTTTAAAAGCGCGACGTAAGTGCCAAATATTATTTTAATCTGTGTGTGTGTGTTTTCCAGCAGAGTGTTTTTTTCCTGCTCGCTTGCTTTTCTCTTTCTCTGCAGGTTCCTGTTCTGGGGACCGGGCTTGTTAAAACCCACTCCTGCGGTTCTGGGTCCGGGGTCACCATCCTGGCATCCCAGACAAAGCCCTTTCCTGCCCTCCTGGCAGAGAGAGAGGCTGTCCAGGGCCTGAGCTGCCCGTCCGGGCGGAGGGCGGCTGGGCAGGCATTCTCACATGCTGCTGGTGGGAGTGGAGATGGGAGCATCCTTTTGGGAAATCAGTTTGGCAGAATGCCTCAAAGGGGTGGGAGCTGTTTGACGTGGGGTTCCTGCATAATGATCCTGGAAAAGTTGAGGAAAACCCCAAACGGTCAATGAAAGGGGGTGGTTCAGGGAACGGTGGCCTGTCCCCCCCAATGGGATTGCCGGTAGCCATAAAGAACGACCATCCCGCGGCCTGTTAGTAACCTGGACATTTCTGTGGCATGATTTGAAGCGATGTTGTGATTATGCAAATAAAACCTGTTCGTTGCAAAGCATTTAGAGAGAACAAAGAAAGTGTAAAAACAAAATCATGATCACAGAATACCATCAAGGACAACTGAGATCGACATTTGGATGTAGTTAAAATATGAGTGAATAAAAACAATGTAAAGTCAGACTCAGATAAGTAAGGCTACTAGTCTGCGTGTAAACCTTTGGCTTCATTAATTCAGTTCTGACCAAAGTGAAAAACTGGAAATACCCTAATGTCTAAGCAAAGGAGACTGGCTGGTCCCATGATGTTGGACCTCCCCTCTACCCCCACGTGATGACCAAGTCTACAGCCATGAAAATGATGGTGTCCAATTTCAATTATCGACCCGGAGCTGTATTAGAAATTCACAGGGCGTTACTGAGTGACATTTTCCGCGTGATCCCAAACTTCCAGTTTTGGAAAAAATGATATATGATATTAAAGATTAGCAGTGATTAATTGTGAGCAGTAGTCTTACAAGGGATTTTGTTTTTATGTGTTCTGTTTGCATTACTAGTGCAATAAAAAAAAAGAAGGGAAAAGCTATGCTCTCGGTGTGCTCATGACTTCGTAACGTAAAATAAATCTGTATATAAACAAACAGCTGCAAGGTGGTGTACAAGGCTATAAAACACTTCTCCCTTCGGATCATGAATCTAAAGCCGATGGGTTTCTCTTTTCTCTCCCTTCTGTTCAGGGGACTTTTCAGGCTTTCTAAACTGGATGAATATTAAAGAATATTTACAGCATCCCACTTGGTAATGAGGAAAATCTATGCGTGGAATATGTAGGTTGCATACATGTTTGTTGTTTGACCGATCCTCCCCTCCAAGAAGTTGGCCTGTTTTGTTCACTACTCCTGACACAGTGTGGCACATAGTAGATGCTCATTAAACATTTGCAGGCTGACTGACGGATTGCATGTCTAGGAGAAAAGGTCTAGAGTGATAAATCCCGTAATGTTGAGGTGTGTTATGACTGGGAAATAGGACCGGGATGGGCACATTTTCTCTTTACTCTATGGTAAACAATATACTGAAGCCTTTTTTGCCTCTTTTTTTTTTTTGTTTCTCTTGCAGCGAACATTTGCTGCTCTGGGGAAAACACTAACGTAATGAAATAAACCGTGTGAGCAAGTTTTCTAATGGAGAAGTCAGCACAGTGGGTGGTGCCTGCACTGTGTGCTCGCTGTAAGAGGAACTGTGTCCACAGGATGCGGGAGCCCACAGTGCGGGGCGCTCAGCGATGAATTACTAGAATCTGCGGTGCGCAGGGCCCTGGGCGAAGGGCTGTGGACGAACTGCTCTGTCCCTGGCCTCCTGGAGCTTGCTCACGAGCAGAGAAGATAGACTTTAGAGAAATAAACCAAGTGATTACATTGGGGATGAACCACAGCCGCGCAGACAGGTGCCTCCCGCGGCTGTCTCTGACCCCATCCCGTGACCTGCTGCTCCCCCTGCCCCGTTTCCTCCACAAACAGGCCGGGAGGGTGAGATGAAGCAGGATGGGGGCTGAGAATGGACCAGTGGGCTTGTGTCTGTGGTTTTCTGTGTTCATGCCCGGCTTTTGAGACTAAGG